CTTCACATAGAGAGTGGTGGGCATGTGAAATGCGCTGCCAGCAGTAGTAGTGGAGTCAGATACTTTAGAGACTTTTAAGCGACTCTTGGATAGGCACATGGGGGATAGTAAAATGTAGGGTATGCAGGGTAGTTTGATCTTAGTAGGATAATAGATCGGCACAACATCGTGGGCCGAAGGGCCTGTACTGTGCTGTAACTGTTCTATGTTCTATCCTACAAATTACCATAGTCATGGTCAGAGTCATACAGCACAGAAAAGGGCTTTCAGCCCATCAACCCATGTATGCTACTGATTTATTCATCCTAATTCCACAACAAATGGTCAGATTTGAGCTCTCAATCATTGGGTTACTAAAACAATACTATATCTATCACTATATAACCATATATCCCTCAGTTCAATAATTTATTAATCTTTTCTGCGAGGAAATATCAGGCTAAAACTCAAGTGCCTCCCTAGTCAGAAGAAAGGAAACAAACAAGTTGCGACTTGATTCCTCTTGTACTTTCATAACCGATATACAGCTAAAGAGACACAGGAAGTGGTCAACCGCCTACCTTCATGGCAGAAATGTGCAAGGAGGGAAAGATGTGGATGGGGGGAGTGGTTTGGGGCTAGGAAAGAGATAAGCAGGAAACAACACCTCTTCAGCAGAGAGAGGTGTTTCAGTATTTTAAAAATGCTTTTAGATTTCCACTGTGCAATGGTCTAAACGTTTTTTTCCAAAAGTGTTGAGGCATTTCAACAAATGCTTTTAAAGATTCATTAAAGCATTCATTATCAACAAATAAGTTATTCTGGTTCAACATTCACACCAAGTCCTACAATTTAAGCTTCTATGAGAATGCCAGCAGTTTTAACTTATTTAAAATCACTGAAGAATGCACTAACAATCATGTGACAATCAGACTATCAATCACACTGGGAGGCATGATCATAAGAACATAAAAACTAGGAGCAGGAGTAGGCCATCTGGCCCGTCGAGCCTGCCCCGCCATTTAATAAGATCATGGCTGATCTTTTTGAGACTCAGCTCCACTTACCCGCCCACTCACCATAGCCCTTAATTCCTTTACTATTCAAAAATTTATCTAGCCTTGCCTTAAACACATTCAGCGAGGTAGCTTCAACCGCTTCACTCGGCAGGGAATCCCACAGATTCACAACCCTTTGGGTGAAGAAGTTCCTCCTGACCTCAGTCCTACATCTGCTTCCCTTTATTTTGAAGCGATGCCCAAATGATCAAAATGGTTCAATCAGCTCAATCAAAATGGTCACTACAATCACAGTTGTACAACACTCGCTACTTAGAAATGCAGTAACCTCAGTTTTGTTAACAGTCTAATTTGCCACCCATTCTTCCCATCTAGCTCCAAGGTACAGATAGTATATTGTCTTCTGCATTATTGAATTAAAAATGTTTAATTCATCATTTTGGGTGATTCATTTGACACTACGTCAAAAAAAATCTAAAGTTCAACTTCCAACCAGTGCTGGGTTATGTGACATGTGGAGTGCCAGTGTTGGACTGGGGTGGACAAAATCAGAAATCACACAACACCAGGCTATAGTCCAACAGGTTTATTTGCTTTCGGAGCCTCACTCCTCCTTCAGGTGTCAGTGAGAGGGTCGTATCAGACACAGAATTTATAAGTAAAAGATCAAAGGGTCACACCACTGAGATGCCGTTAGAAGGTTTTAATTGATTAATATGTATATGTAAATCCCTGAATTCCTTACAAGTCACTGTCCTGAGAGAACTAAAGGTTTTATCAGTGTAAAGAAGAAGTGACATTTTAGAACAGAAAGTGCACATTAGAGGTGAGGCCCTGTTTAGAATCAGTTTATTTTTTGCTTTGGAGTCAGATTGGTTTTATTTCTAAAGGAAGAATTTGTAAAACGCCGCATTGACTGTCTATAAATTGTGTGCATTTTCAACAAAATAGAATGTATCTGCAAATACAAATTCACCCCATAGATTTGTGGGTGTGAGAGAGCGACGGTAAGCATGTGAGAGTGAGCACGCACAAGAGAGTGTCCATTACAGCTATTCACCCTCCTTGTCAGATCATTATCAATTCCTTTGTCTGTCCAACTGTTCTTCTCTCTCTTTGGACGTGATCCCAACCTATCGTTTACTCCTTACCCCTCCCCCCCATCCTATCTTCTGCATATAAACCAACAGTTTCCTAGCTACCATCAGTTCTGAGGAAGGGTCACCGGAAACATTAACTCTGAGTTTTCTTCACAGATGCTGCTAGACCTGTTGAGCTCTTCCTGCAACTTCTGTTTTTATAACTGAAAGTAAGATTAGTGGCAGTAAATTATTCAAACCAAAATACGATCATACCAGGGCGGCACGATGGCTCAGTGCTAGAAACCCGGGTTCGATTCCACCCTAGTGAGACTGTCTGTGTGGAGTTTGCATATTCTCCCCATCTCTGTGCAGGTTTCCACCGGTTGCTCTGGTTTCCTCCCACAGTCCAAAGATGTGCAAGTTAGGTGGATTGGTCCAGCTAAATTGCCCATAGTGTTCAGGGATGTGTAGGTTAGGTGTGTAGCCATGGGAAATGCATGGGTTACAGTGATAGGGTTGGGGGATGGGTCTGGGTGGGATGCTGTTTGGAGGGTTGGTGTGGACTCGTTGGGCTGAATGGCCTATTTCCACACTGAAGGGATTCTACGAAATATGCATCTTGCATGGATCATTCTGGCTAAACAGACAGTTTTAACTGAATGACAAATTATGCACAAGGTTGGAGAACATGTAAATTGTGTGGCATAGAGATCTTTGTTGGATGATCAAGCTGCACCATATCTGCCCAAAGTAGAAAATTCTAAAATGCTATAAAGTAGCATATTTTACAAGTTGGAAATCTTAAATGTGAAGATTTTAAGTAGAGTTCAGCTCTGGTATAATCCTCGAAGCAAATAACAGGTAACGCAATGTGACAACACAATCAGCAAAATCCACTAAAAGGCTTGGAGATAGTAAGAACTGCCGATGCTGGAGTCAGAGACAACACAGTGTGGAGCTGGAGGAACACAGCAGGCCAGGCTCTGAAGAAGGGTCCCAACCCGAAACGTCAACTTTCCTACTGCCTGGCCTGCTGTGCTCCTCCAGCCCCTAACTTTGTTATCACTAAAAGGCTTAGTTTATGCCTGGCCTCATCATGTTAAGTTTGAAGATACAATTCAGCTTCAGTATTTTGTTTGTTCAGGATTATCCCTTTGTAGGAAAGATCTGCATATAGTAACGAGGCTGCAGCATAGATTCATGAGGATATTACTGGCACAGAATATTACTGGCACAGAATAGGGATTGGGGGAGGAAAAGTTCCAGCTATGAAAAGAAGTGGTGTTTTTCACTAAAGTCTAGTTAATGAAACTTTTGCAGGATATCACTTTCAAGGTTGTGTAAGATTAAGTTAGTGATAATTTCCATTGATTAGTGGAACCACAATGAAAAGGTACAAATTTAAAGTGAATTATCAAAGACAAGGTTTAGAAAATTCTTCAGAGAATTATTAGACACATTTACTGAACGAGTTTAATTATTTAATTACTTTAAAAATATAATTGAAGTGTCTAAAATAATTACTTCATGCTTCAGCTGTACATTTGATTAAAAAGAAGTTAGCTACAGAATAGTGACTCCAAAAATTTGATTAACCTAGAATTCTGATGCAACCTGTTAAAGAAATAATTGCACTGTCTGATGTGGCACAAGATATTTTTCCACTGAGAGCAACACATACCTTTAAAATGGAAAGTATTTTGTGATTCAAGCTGTAGTCGTCGACTTCCTTTTAAGAGCTTCCTATAATAGCCCTGAACACAATGGCAACAACTTACAACATTTTTAATGTCATAAATATCCCAAGAATTTAGATATATTCTACATTGAACAAACAGCATCTTTATTCAGAATTCTTAAAATAATAGTAGGGAATATTCAATTGCTACAGTATATTTTTGTGAAACGTTTAAATGACTGCACTGGTGGCAGAAACCTGGCCAGCTCCAATTTATCTTTATAGGCCAAGTCAGTGCAAACAATGGAAGGATCAAGAAAGACTCACAACAGACAGATAAAATATGTAAAAATAAAAAGCTGATTGGTATTGACAGTAGCCAGGGAAATATTCAAAAATATTTCACTAGTATTAAAAATGTAGACACCTAATACTTCAAATGGGTTTATTATCATTACTGATCTTTAAGTCTAGTGAACAGACATGCACATTACAGGTTCCTTAAAACAGGATTTCCAGCCTTAAAGTACCTAACAACAACTGCAATAAATAGAAATCTGCTTTGTAAAACTGCCGTAATATTACAGTGAAAATTACTGATCGGGTTAATAAAATTCAAACACAAGTTGTAGGTGTATTTCAGAACAGGTAAAGCTAAACTTCCATTCTCAGGTCTTCCAGAATACAACAAAGTACTTAACACTCAAAATTTAATTCCCACACAGTTTGAATAGGTCACAGAATGCGTGAAATTTTTCACCTTGGAATACAATAAAACACCTATTTTTCCCAAGGGGCAGCACATTACGTGATCAAAAAAGTTAAAGCATGCTTGAGATCATTCAAAGACTTTTTTTCCAATTACAGGCTTTAAAATAGTCTGCATTCAGCACATTTCTACTTGTATTGAAAATCGCATCAAGAATATAGCAGAACATTCCACTGTGCATCCATTCTAAACCAAATTAAGTTCACAGAAGTTAAATTATCAAAAATTTCTCAGTCTAACAAAAACAAAAACAAATTTGTACAAGTGTTTAGTCATGGAAAAATTTTTATTACATAATTGTTTTATGACACAATGAAACACTTGGTGAATGGAGGAAGTTTGCTTTATTGGTATAGTTCAGCATAATACAAAAGGTCATCAAACATCCCTTCAGCCAAGACCTCGTGGTATTAAATTACAAACTGCCACAATTCATAACTTACACATTCCTATAAATCACTTTCTCAACTTACCTTTGTATTGCTCCAACAGTCTCCCATCTTTATATCAACCATTGCCACAGTCAGAGATGTTTAATACAAGTCTTCTGCATATTGCTTAACATCGGGAATATCCATCCATCCTAAATAACATCTGCTTCACAAGTATATCTGCAATCATGACAGTGACCCACCGGCATGAATCTCTCTCACTTTAAGACATATGTAAAAACTGCAGGAGCATGTTTCTGACCACATCCTGTAATGTTAAAGCTTCAAGCACATTTCAAACCACGCAGCTCAAATAGCAGTTATAAAGCTATACTGCCTGAAATATTTAGTATTTAATTTGAAGTACAGTTTAAAATCATAACCACCTCGGTTTCTTCCTGTCAGATCAGCTTTTTTTTGTAAAACAATTATGTTCTGCAACTTGAACTATAAAAAGTGTGTAGTGAGAGAAATAAGTGGCTAGACCTTTTTATAGATCAAACTATTACAAGTAAGAAAGAAAGAAATTATTAATGAACCTAAATTTCTGTTGATAACAAAATAGAATTTGCTTGACCAGGAAATGGGATGATTACAATTCAAAAACATAAGTAAAATCTAAAAATATCTAGAGGCATAAGTATAATTACTTTAAGAGGAAAAATGTTAAAAGGAAACTAACAGAATCATGGACAAGGCTGATTTTTAGATTCCAACCTTTTCAACACTACTCTGAAAGAAACAGCAAAAGGCAGAAAGAAAGTAGAAACACCACACAGTATTTAATGGCCTCAACTGGTCACCAAGCATATAACATGAATACGACCACAAGATCCATATCCATAAACTGATGTTTAGTAGTGCAAATTACACTATTCAACACGGAACATAATATCTAATGTTAGATGTGATTCTATGACTGGATAGCACTTCCTGAACAATGCTAAGTGTGCTATGGATTACACTAATAACCAAATTGAGATCATCCGTATTTTTTAAGCACAAAATGAAACTGCGGATCAGGACAGTTCTGAAGATACAGGGTGATCAAGTGTGTACATTTGGCAGTGCAGAATCCCTTGAAAATTTTCTTACTCATTGGAACATATCTATTCTGCATAATCTGACATATTACCTTAAATGTCTGCCACTGCATCTCTATGCCCCATCCATTAATGTAGCTTGTTTTTCACTTTAATGAGTTGTTTTCAGACCTACAGAATTGCTCTTATTTAAGGTTTTAAAAAAAGTCAGACACACTCTTCTCTCCCTTGAGCACAATGTCGAATTCAATCATTTATGCTTTCTGCCATCTACTGCATCTTCACTAATTTTCTCTCATTTTACAAGACCAGATCTGTAACCTGCTGTCTGAGTCTCCAGATCACGCTCTAAGAGCATCCCAAAACGATTCCATGTAGTCCTCTGAAAACTAGCTTTGTTCATCTGACTTTACAGTCTACATGTAAATTAAAATGTCTTATGATTATTGCTGAGAAGCTCCCCCTTTTTTTCCTCTTTCTGCTCCATGCTACACTTCAGTTACTATTAATGGGCCAATATATCATTCCCACATGTGCTTTTATCATTTTTCATCTGTACCCAACTGTTTCTGCATCCTAGCTTTGAACTTGGCTTGTCCTTTTCTAGTTTGCCAATACCATAATTCACTCACAGATCCACATTCCACTCATCCTTGTTTACTGTCCATCTTGAACAGAGAGGACACTTCTATATTATATATATAGATAATATATATAGTATATAGTACCAAGTCACATCGTCTTGTAGCCAGTCTCTGAAATTGTGACGAGATTGTACTTATTTATTTCTATTTTTGGTCTCAGCTCATTTATTTTGTTTCATATGTTACGTGAAGTCATTAGCTTTATTCTTTTATTCTTTACACAACTTCTAGCCCAAGGTTTTCCAAATTGAGATCAGGACCCCAAGTGGTGCTGTGAGCTCTGAGACAGCAATAGCCACCATGGAACTCTGAGTTAGAACAATTTTACAGCTGTATTCCTGCTTTTACAGATGCCCACTCCCACAGTTCTCACTGACCTGTCACAACAATTTTCAAGCCCTGAAGTGGAATCACAGTTGAAAAAGGTTTAGCATAGAAAAAGTACAATTCTAGCCTTAACTGTTGATTTAGTCTCAGATTTATACCCCTTCTATCCCTTCTTGTCATGTCAATTTATCATTTTCCATATTAATAATACATTATTTGTTTATTCACTACCTTTTTTTACTGCATCTTCCCAAATTTGGTCTCTTATCCGCACTATTTATCATAAATCCTCTCAACTCCGACTGGTGCCAGTGCCCCATGGTCAGGGACACACTCTTCCCACATTAGTTTTGAGCCACTTATTCATCTCTCAAATCTGGCTTGCCCTTTGCCAATTTTCTTGTAGCTCAGACAACAACCCAGAGATTATATAACTTTTGAGGTTCTGCTTTTTAATTTGATGCCCAGTTCCTCATACTATGAAGAACCTCCATTTTTGTCCAGCCTCTGTCATTGGCACCTGCATCAACCATGGCAACTGTATCCTCCCCCTCCCCCTGCATATTTCACTCCAACCTTTCACTGGGCAGGCAACAAGCTATCTGTGCTCACTTTCTTCGTTGCAGAAGCATCAATCCCTCTGACTACACTGTGCCCCTATATCACTGCATTCTTTTTTGCTCTGCCCCAGTTGAATGGCTTCCTGTACCACATTGCCATGGTCAGTTTAATTCATCTTCTCTGCAGACCCCAACACTCATCCAAGCAAGCTGAAAGACCCTCAAATGAATAAATAACAGAGGGATCCATTCTTCTTTATAAATGCATGTTTAAATCTCCATAAAATTACAGTCTGTACAGTAAACACCCCACAACTGTTCCCAGCTTGCAACTGATTGCTGCCTTTTTTTTAAAAACTTTTGTAGCTAAATAACATTCGATGAGAGCTGAGCTGGTTGAAGTGGACTGAGAAAAACAGTTTAGCAGAAAAGACAGTTGAGGAAGAATGACAGATGTTCAAGCAAATAGTTCATTTTAAGTTTTTGAGAAGATTTGTAGCTCGGGTTGTGGATGAGGCTGTAGACATGCTCGCCAAGCCAGTGTGTTTGATTGCAGACGTCCCATCACCCTGCTGGGTAACATCGTCAGTGTGCCGCTGGTGAAACATTGGTGTTCTGTCCTGCTTGTTATTTATATGCCTCGGTTTGCCTCCTTCCGCCAAACAGAGACATGCCAGGGAATTCCTGGAGGCCCAGCATTCCAACTGGAATTCCATCAACAAACACACTGAACTGGACCCAATACACAAACCACTGAAAAACAGAACCGGAAGTGATGCCAACCACCCCAGCAAACCAAGACAGTAAATAACACGCGGGACAGAACACCAACATTTCACCAGAGGCACACTGACAACGTTACCTTGCAGACATTTTGTAACCTGCTATCAAACACATCGGCTTGAGCGAGCAAGTCTACAACCTCAAAATAGCTCACTACTCAGAACAAAGATTAATCCCAGTGGGACAAAGACTCTAGGAAGGAAATAAACCAACAAAATTAACCAAGGTTTATGGACAGCATGAAATTGAAATGAAAATACAAAAGTTGGCGGTAAACCAGAAGATTGGGGAAGTTCTAAAAGCCAAAAGACGAACGATTAAAAAAAGTCAATGATAGGGCAAACTGTCAAGTAATAGAAAAATAGGTGGAAACAGCTTCCTAAAATATATAAAATTGACAAGAGAAGCCAAAATGAATGTAGGCCCCCTCAGAGAATGAGGTTGGGGAAATAATAATAGGGAACCAGAAAACACAAGGTTGAATAAACACTTAGCAACAGTTTTCAGGGTAAAAACAATAACAGCATTCCAAAAATGCTAAATAATCAAAGGGCCCAAAGTAATGTAGAGGGAGAATAAACATAATAACTATCAGTAGAGATAAAATACTAGGGCAACTAATGAGTGAAAGGCAAATAATGGGCCTGCTAAATGGGCAAACTATAGCTGGAATGGGACAAAACTACATTATGAATGTGTTGAATTCATGCCACAGGAAATTATTTAGCTTCTCTATCATAACTTTTAACCTGCACAAATTTATTTGTTAAAGAAATTACATTCCCAGACAACTGCCCCTAAGTAAAGGAACTGAATGCCTCAATTTATATTTATAAAGTTGATAAGATTAAGTTGGACATATGCAATATATATCTTAAACATCCAGTTTCCTTTTACTTCCAATATGGGAACATGGAAAAGGAGGAGTAAGCCAACATTCCTACAAATATTAAATGCTTCAGTATCTCAGTTAACATTTGAGGAAATAATATTCATTCATCTTGACGACTTTGAGAATTTGCACAATCCACATACTAGCCATAATTCAATATTCTTGTTAGATGCTAGTTGAACTGAAAATAGTTAAAACCAAATACTAACACATTACTGAACAGAAAATATTTTTGATTATCTAGGGGTCTGTAGAAATTGCTGGAAATGACAACAGGATGACAAAAGTGATAGCGTACAGGGTAGTAGAGTGTGGCACATGGGAAACATCAAGCTATCCAAAGTAATGAAGCAATTTCTTTGTAGTCAAGCACTATTCTTGGGCAACAAAAATGTATAATTCAGGCTGATGAGAAATTGATATTGCCAACTGGATGCATGTTTTCCCCTGCTGTGAAATTCAATTGAACAATTTTTTTAAAATGCAGTAAAAAGGTCTAACCTATCTCTAAGGTCACTCCACTAGTTGTCTAGTCTTGCCTCTCTAATTCACGCTCACAGCAGCAGTGAAATATTCCTTCTATCCATGTTCCCATAGTGGAAATAAGAAGGGTAGAGTTTTCATCTTTCAGTGATGATCAATATAGGATTTATGATCAATATCAAAACAGAGATCACTAAATACTTTATGTCTAAGCAGAGCAAATTACGTTTACAAATTCAACACCAATGTTCCTTTATGTAATCTTAAAATAGGTTTTCACTGCAGCGTGGTAAAACAAATACATAAAATTAATAATGAGTGAAGGGGGAGTGAGAGTTCAACTTAATACCAAAACATAAAATATTAAAATTCTACAAAGATCAAATTACTTTGCACGCAAATATATTTATTTTACTTACAAACTCTGCATTATTCTTTCATTCTTTAAAGAACATGTTCTGTT